CGAGAAAGAATAAACTAGTTTTATTTAAGAAAGGACTTGTATCGCTAAAGTTTCTTCGGAAAGAAATGATACGGGGAATTAATAAACGAACAGACGTAACAGTAGACTAAATAACTATAACTTAGGTGAATTCTTGCAATGAATGACAGTAAAATAAAAATAATCACCATGATATCGATAGGTCAACCAGGTTGTTTCAGAATAGGTCTAATCTACTCATCATTACAACACTGTACAATGATAAGCAAAGGCTTTTTGGTGTGAACTAAGCTAACTTCACTAATGTTTGTACCAGGAAATGGGGCTATATTTATTTACTTTCACTGCAACGAGTACATGCTAACTATCACATGATATCAACAACCACTTGAAAGTGTTGCCAGAACTAACTGCCTTTGGTTCCATCTGAGTCTAAACATGTGCACTGATTGGATGAATTCACTTCAAATTCAGAGAAAGAAGAAAAACAAAATGGTACAAAATTAGTAACATGTTGTACAATAGCAGAGCTTCATTCCTGAAAAAACATGTAGTGCTGAATCCCCCAGTAAAATTATAGAAAAAAAAGTTTGATTTCAGAGTAAAAGAATGCAAAAATAGTTCCAGACTTCCAAGAGTCCAGAACTTTTCTAGATTCTAGTTCTATTTAGTACATCCCTACACACGAATAAAATGGGAAAAAACAGTAGATGCCACGATGAAATTTTCAGTCGCCATGGGGACCTGTGCTCAGGATTTGTCAAAGCTTACATGAGCTTAATTTGATAAAATCTGTAATCAAGGAATGGCAATGGGTACCCAGTAAATGCAGTCTAGATTTATTACATCAGTTGCTGAAAGCATTTAACTCTTTCAGCACGGGCTTGGTCCTTAGGACCGACCTCATAACCATACCAAACTTGTTTATTAAGTCTTAAGGCTTGTTAAGCAATGTTTTTCTCATGCTTTTATTTTCTTTTTGCATGTTGCCTATCCAACATGCAGAGTAATTTTCATTTTAAGATTAAATATACTTCTATGCATCAGGAAATTTTCAAATTTCCCAAATGCGATATCATTATAATGTCCAGATAGTTATCAAACAATTCTTAAGAAAAAACTTTATATTTTATCTGTTATTTTCACTAAAGAATCTCTGTACAGGTTCAGTAGATTTGACCGATCTTGTAACTACCATAAAAAATTAGGAAATAAGTATGAATTATGCCTCTTTCATTCTATAATGACAACAAACTATAACACAAAAACATAAATGTACAGACTAAATAGCTTAAATCTCATAAAATTATACATTTACATATATTTATTATTTTTATCATGTTGATCTTGCTGCTATCCCTGGCTAACAATACAGAAGTTACAATGATGCAGCACACATGCTTTCATGTTACCATATCCAATAATATAAAACTGACCTTTAGTCTTTACAAAGTGACCCATCTTGGCTGTGTTTTAGTAGTCTAGTATTTTGTAAAATAAGAGGATATGAAACAAAATAACTTTTTAGGTTTTATATATATACAGTTGAATAACCGAAAAATTATAAATTACTATATGGATACCACAGAATTCCTCTATAATTTATCAAGCTTAGTAACTAAGCTGTAATTAGGTCCAAAAAATATGAAATTTTAGGCAGACTACAGACCCAACCTACCCCCTTGCAATCTTGGTTCGAAAAAACAAGATGTCGTCCCAACACATGAAAATGGCTGAGAAAACCACAACGGGAACGTTCTGAGATTTCGGCTGGTTATTCACATGTCATGTATTGAAGTGTATATAAGAAACCATTTCCAAAAATGGGAAGAGATGAGCAGGGTCACTGTGTTTGCTTGAGTACATGAATGATATCTCAACAAATAGAAAAGATATGAGGTTCTTACTTTATATTCTAGGTTGTCAATATCGGTAATCTGAGTTCCTAATTCATATGAAACTATAGACTTAGTATTCTGACATCACAAACATCTAATTTGAACTAGTGCTGCATTCAACATGACACCCAAAAATCGATGTTTAACTGTTTTTTAACATTTACTTTTAAATTAAGAAATCAAATAATGTATAATACTAAAATTTGAATTATATTCTACAGTTTGATACCAAACTTATTGATATAAGTTCATAAAATAGTAGTTTAATAAAATTTTGAATGCAAATCAACAAATACGGTGACATGGCCTTTGACCCGTGACCCGTCTGGAGAGGGTTAAAGTAAATAATAGAGTAACCATTTTCTCATTGTTGCATTCAGCATCTAGTAATGGCTAGAAGTTATTTTGGGGATTTATTTATAGTTTTTAGTACCTGTAACTCGCATTTACTTTTCCTCAAAGTTAAATTTCAGAAAATTAGTTTCAAGAATATTTTGTGAATATACCTTTCATACCTTATTACTTTAAAAACAGATTTATTGTGAATTTACCATTGTAACATTGAACATCCATAGCATTCTTTTTATTATAAAGTTATTGAAGTACAAAAACTCTGGATTTGATCCAAGCAAAAGAATACTTGATTTAATTGTTTTTAACTGCACAGAAAAACAAAAAACTTTCACTTAGTTTTGCTATGCAAAACTGGAAAAAAATTTACAGGTTAAAATCGAAAGCACTTAGAGGCTCAGATAGGCTAGTGGAAGGATTATATATTTTTAATTCTATTAACTTGAAAATTTCACATAATTTATACATAGATTGAAAATTCAAGTCCACAATTGTTTTTAGGCAGAATTTCTTCTTTCTTTACATTGCAACCTCCAGAATAACGTTAATGAGAAGTGTGTTCAAAATTTCATCATGGTTTTGACAAATAGGTACATAACTGGAAAAGGTTACATTTAGTTCAACTCATACTTGGTATTTAAAATTTTACAATCACACTGCAGGTACATGAATGACCTGCTGTCAGCTTGCTTGTTCTCGTAGTAAATTAATGAACCTCAGTCAAAATAATAATTATAAAATAACCTCAAAAATAAAATCAGACCTAATGAATACTGTATTAACCTTCAAGCATCAAAATGGCTACCAGTTCAAGTTGTACTGCCAAATTAGGAAATTAGGTTAATTTTTTCATAGACAAACCAACTCAGGTGGAATGAAGTAAAAATTATACACAGCATAATTTGTTTTATCAATAAATGTCTTATATTCAATAATGTAAATTGCAGTGGTTTAGACACTTAGTTAACAAGATTTTCAACTAAATAATCATCATATGATGCATGCTAATAGATACAATTCAATATCTTGGTGAGAATTTGAAATCTCCAGCATTTCTCCATTATAATTCTGTTCTCATCATATCAAGTTTTGTTCTTAATTATAATTCAATGAAAAGATAAACAAATTTATCATACACAATAAAAGTTGCATATGTTAATTTATTTCATATATTATTTACAAAGTATCACCACTTAAAATATAAAACTACTACCATATATTTGCTGCTGCTTTGTTTGCCGATGTTTAACCCGATTTGGATTAAACTCATTTTCAATGTCCCAATCAGTGATTTCAAATTTTTCAACATCATCCATTTTCCAGGCTACAAAAAAAAGTAAAATATAACTATTACTTTTTCAAATAAAACATTTAATAACAAAAGGTTTTTGCCTACAATGCAGAGAATGTCACATTTATATTAAAAACTACTTAAAAGCTATAATATTGCTAAAACCCAGAAAACATATACGTAATGAACAATCAGCACCATCATACTTTAACATGCTAAAATCTTGCAATTTAATTAAATATGATTTATCATTAATAATTTCTGGTCATAAGTATGCTACATCAGTCAGAATTAAAAAGTAACCTAAATTAAATGAAGTAAAATCCATAAAAAAATGACAACAAAAAATCCAAATAAACTTTGAATCATAACATTTTGCAAGTTTTTCTTGTGAAAACAGAATGATTTTTGGTTATAATTAACAAGCCAAATAAAAAAAAGTACAAAATTAGTACCAAATAATCATGAGTAACTTTGTAAGCTAAATTCATAGCACTCTTACTAAACTATTAAGCTTAATAAATATTAATTAACTATACTACTACTTTGAGAATGGTTAGAAATAATAATGTTTGCCTCCTAGACAGATAAAGAAATTATAAAATCCAAAAGAGCTTATGAGAAACAGCTCCTCGATACAGTTTAAACTAACAGCAAGTATTTTCTAAGTGCATAAAAGGTAAACGATGTTAAAATTGAGATTGGGTCCTTAAGGAATACTGATGACAAGGTTCTTGATGATGACTATGAAATGGTTGAACTTTTAAATGTTTTCTTCTACTTTTACAAGATATTAATAATATTCCTGACTGAGCATTCAATGTAATATAATGGAATTGGCCTGAATCAATTAGATATTAATGAGAAAGAGGCTCACATACTGGATCTTTGCTCTTCTTTAAAACCCTGAAGAAATTATTTCTAATTGCTATCAAGGAATTAATTTCAACATAATTAATGTCAATTTAAATATTCCCCATATAATGCTCAGGATGAGGAATACTTCTAACAGTTTCTCTTTCTTTTTTTTTAAAAAACAGAATGGTAGGTCTAAGTTTTTATTATTCTTAAAGGTAGGTGTACAAGGACAGCCTTGAAAAAGCAAATAGTCCTTTGTTATTCATATATTAGTTCGTCTGATGGAAATACTAAAGGACTCATAGTACATACATTTTCCATTTTCAAGCAGAGTTTAACTGCTGAACAAGAAAGTTCAAACATTTCTTCTAACAAGAATAAAAAAGTGAATATATAAACTATAGTAAGGTTGATAAGAATCTAATCAAAAACACCTCTATGTTCAGAATGATTTTTTTCATGTACACCAGCATCAAGGCAATGTGCAGATGTGCATTACCAGTTTTTTTGTTGGGAGGAGGGTATTTTTTAGACCATCAACCCTTTGCAATGCTACCAGTTGGTTATATGGGCTTTAGGCCTATCAACTGCCAGGGTCATTAAGGCTGTCAACATGTTGAGACTCTTCACCATTACAGAGGATGAGCACAGCTGGAATAATTAATTGCGTGGCATTTGATTGCTTGTTGTGTGGCCGTGCAGCCTAGAGGGAACACTGCTTAGATATGACAAAAAAGGTGTGGCCTAAAAAGGATTGAGCGTGTGACTTAAAGGAATGAAATCAAAATTGGCAGTCAAACTGGTAGCTACAGTTGTATTGTTAGCCAAGTCACATTTTCTGTTCAAATTGGGGCATGATGGTGGGTAAAACAAAATATGCAGCCTAAATGTTTGCAAGTTTCTTCTAAAATGCAATTTGAAATAAATACAACAGACTTGTTTCTTCTCATAAAAATAATGCTGCCATTACTACATTAGCTTATGTTTAAACTTAAAGGACTTCCCAGTATGTTTGGTACATACAGTTTATTATACATGGCTCCTTTCTATTTTACTGAGAGAATCACTTGACAAAGACAGGTCAGATAGTACAGTAATTCCTCTTTATCCACTACATTTATTTAACCTATCCTTTCATTAAAAGTCACAAGAAGTGAAATTTGAGGACTTTCACAGCCATAAAATTAAAAAAAAACCAGCAATATTTTTCTTTTGGGTAGATTCAAGATGACATTAAGTGTCTATATTTATTTTTAACTTGATAACCTTTTAATAAATTGTCTATGATCTTAAAACACAATGCAATAAACATACTATAATTTAAAATGATTCAGGACTGTTACACTGTTACTATGTATGGAAATAAAATGTCCCAGGTTTTCAGTTTGGAAATCTGGTGACCCTACTACATTATACATATGAATTAAAACTTAAGTGTGAAGGCTCAATTATTTGTACAGTGTAACTTGTAGAGTTAAAGATATTCAATATGATATTCAGCAACGTGCAGTAAGAAACTGCAAGTTATCACATTCAATTTTTAAAATAAACCTCCATAAAACAATTGAAAAAGTAGTTTCACAAGTATACACAATTAAGTTAAAATAAAACATAAGTACTACTAGTGCCATGTTATTTTACAAAAACCGTTCAATTTTGACCAAAATGTTTGCACACACCCACACAAAAAGTCACATAAGCTGTCGGTCTGAAACGTTTATTAAAGCTTCACCTAAGGGGAAAGGCAGACCATTTTTTTGTTTTTTGTCCTTCAGGTTAGACAGCTGACTTAGAACAGCAAAACTATAAGTTGAAAGGAAATGCAAATGTATAAGTATTGGTTAGCCCAAGCAAACTAGATTAGCAGTTTCTAGCTCAAGTTTTCAAAAGTATCATATGGAAAGACAGTTATTATTAATTATTCATTGCCAACTTTTAAGCCAAAATTTACTACATTTTATGAAATTATCCTAATTAAAGAGCATTTAGTATCACGTGATATTTGCTTAAGCAATTAACATAAATAATAATGCTTGATACAGCTGTGCCAATACATGGCACTGATGACAAGAAACTGTTAATCTAAATTCCATGGCATTACTATAAAGGAAGCTATTAACACTGTTTTATAAAGAAAACTACCACCATATATTTATTGAATCTGGTTGGTTCTGTAAAGTATAGGTCTGTTCTAAATTACAGGGTTGCAGTCCTAAAGCTGATGTTGGTTACTATCGAGTGTCACTTTCTTATTTGCTGTGGTTTGTTAGTGTGTATTGAAAAAAAAGTCACGATATCTAATCAAAAACACCTTAGGTGTGAAAAAAGGTGCAGCCAAAAAAGCATTGAGTGTGCGACTTAAAGGAATAAAATCAAAATTAGCAGCCAAACTGGTAGTGGTAGTTACACTTCTACTACTAATCAGTAGTAGTAGTACTAGAATGTAGACACTCACAATCACATAGAATTTTTATTGAAGACTAGATTGAAAATAATTCACTACTTAAAATTTGACCTTGTTAAAAACAGTGTTATAGCTTTATTATTTTTCAGACTACTTACCCCAAATTAAGAATACTCTCTCATGCACTAACGAAATAAACCGTACTAATAACACTTTGCAACAATTATAACTTATAAATATAATCAATATTTACCACTGACATTAACCCTAAATCCCTTAAACCTACAAACGCACAAGCCCTCTACTGGTAATCTATATATTATATATATAAAAGAGGAAGTTTGTTTATTTTGTTCGCTATAGGAAACCAATTGGTTGAACTTGCAAATTTTAAAATAACTTCATAATGATCAGTTTTTTACAAGAAATTTAATGGTGCTATTTATTTTGTATTTGGTGTAGTATTTGATGACGAAATTGACAATTAATTATTATTGCGCCATTTTTTGTAATAAACATACAACGATATATACACAACAGAAATTAAATGATGAGATAAAAATGTATTATAACGGCGCGAAGAAAGAACAATAAAATGGACCAACAATATTATTGACTATTTGCAAATAGTAACTATGAAGACGAGGTAATAAAATAAAAATTAGGG